GTCTGAAAGTGAAAATTTTGCGCAAAAAACGCGTTTCTTGCGTTTTTTTAATGAGCGTTACTGGCTCACAATCGCGGTTCCCTTTTGAGCGTTTAAACGCGTTTTTCCAAATGTTTGTCTGCTTGGGCGGATGCATGGTCAATCATTGATCTCTACAATACGAAACAACCTCTCTTATGAAGAGCGCTCGATATGCAATGAGATAACCACAGTGCGATTTTTTTCTGCTAGAGGATATCCAAAGTCGGTTTCAGCATTAAAACATAGTCATAGATAATCGTATATATCAAGCTTATGTCTCTTTTAATTATCCGTCCAGTATTATTATTGTTGTTTTCGTTCATCTTCCCTGGTCCCGATCAACCCATGTCTAACATCATACTTCATTTTATTTTTTCTTTACTCTTCATTTCTTCTTTGTCTTTTATTCTTTTTACTTCTTTCGTTTAGCATTTCGACATGAATGTGTGGAATTTATACAGTGACGCGTTGTGGGGACATTCTGATCCTTAGCGTGAACGTCATTTCTATTAGTCTACTCTTCTCTTGTTTGACTGAAGAAAATAAAAATATTTATTTAACTGGTTGATTGGATTCACTTAAGGGGCCCCCTCCCCTCTAAATTTTTTTTTCCTCAGAACACTCAATCTTACTGAAATTTTCACTGAATATGTATCTGACCATTGATAGTTCTCAGTAAAAATTTGAGCTCATAATATTGAGTTTTTCGCGAGTTATTGTAACAAAAAGTAGGTGTCCGTGTGTCAGAGATTTTGTTTTCAGTTTTAATGGTACGGACCGCGGGATGGTGTCAAAATGTAGAGAAGACCTGCCCCTCGAACTTAACAAAGCCGGATTTTTGAAAAAAAAAATTAATTTTTTTAGACAGTTTTTTCGAAAAACCTAGATAAATTTTTTAGAAAACTCGAGTTTTTTTGTAAACAAATAAATTGAAAACAAAAATTCCGGCTTTGTTAGGTTGTAGCGCTGATATTTACCTTCATTTTAAAACCTTCCCGAGCTTTTCTAACATTTAAAATGGCGGAGAAATCTTTGGCACACAGTCAAATAAAACGAAAAAAAAACAGTTTCGAGAAAAACGCAAAACAATTTTTTTCTTTGATTATCGCGATTTTTTTATTTAAAAATGGTAGTGAATAAACAAGAAGACAGTTTATTATAGGTTATCGACTATAGCAAATCGAATGAGCACATGGAGAGATATGTGTGATGTACTTTTTTTTTACGTGTAAGCGTTGGTCTCACCAAAAGCCATCAAAAACCACTGGTTTTTGAAAAAATCTATAAAATTACTTGAATTTAATATGCATAATAAAACTAGTGCTTTGAATCAGATATTACGAAACAAAACATTCAATTTTCTCTTGCCGAGTAGGCAAAAGAAAATGACTGACTTATTCTTGTATTTATTGTATAAAAAACAATTTTTTGATGCAGGGGTCTTCAGAAAAACCGTTGTAAAACCCTCAAAAACCATCGAAAAACCAATAAATTATAGTGCATTCGAAAGTAGAGATGATGGGCTATCTAACTATGTATAAATCTAAAAATCGATATTTCTGTCGAAAATTCCTTTTTTTTGAGAGGGGGGGCCCTTAAGAAGCAAAGACTTTCTAACACATTTTACCACAGTCAACAGTGAGACTGTATAAAGAAGTGAAAATACAGAAAAATTTCGAAAACCAGGATAAAACAGGATGTTCTCATACAACAACAGGAAAAACAGAACAAATACGAAGCCTGAGTGACTAAGTCTTAAAGACCAATAAAGTATGTGAGGCATGTTAAGGCAACGATGATTTTCGTACTCTTTCAATTAGTTCTGTTGTTGACTATAAACAAAGAACAACGAGAGAAAACATTTCTGTTTTATTTTTTGTAATAAAATTTATTAAAATAAAAATGAATAGTAAAACAATAATAATTCCAGATTAAGAAAGGGAAAAGTCAAAAAATACATTAAAAAAATAAGCGGCATGTAACAAAAATAGTGGCGGATGAGCTTCAGCAACTATCTACCAGCACATTTGAACGATCTTTTTCCAATTGTAACTGAAAGATATTTGGTTGTTTAACCAAAATACGGTTGATTTTCCAAATGTTCATGGACACGTAATATTTTGAATAGTTGGATTTTCCAGTGAAATATAGTATTTATCATTACCACCACTACTGACTGTTGATCTAAAAACAGAGAAACAAAACATTTTTTGTTATAACCAGACGAAAATGACAAGCATAAGGATCATACCTTTCATTATTATTATTATTATCGACAAATAAATCCCGTGCTTTCAGCGCAGCCAAATCAGCTTGATGAACAACAGATGGAATGGCTTTAGCGGCTGATGATCGTGGATCAGTGAAACAAAGATAATGTGTTAGCAGTTGTAATTCATCAATCGATAAACCAATTTCATTTAATAAACAAACATACAGTAATGTATGATTCACATCTGTTTGAACTTGGTGTGAATTAAGATAATAGGTCGGTTGATATGGATGAACAATAGTGGTATCAATACAAGCCCCAATTGGAATATTACTGGTTTGCTGGGATCGTTCATCACACATAAAAAATCGGGTGTGATGACGTTTTTTAACAACAAAAAGGGTTAATAACGGTGTAAACTTTTCGTTAGCATAAGCAGCTAAAAGATAGGAGAGGGAAAAAGCATAGTGTTAAATAGATAACTACGATCTTGTAATGAAATTTCATTACAAAGATTTTCAGTTTTCAAACTAAATCAGAGAAAAATTTCGGATCATTCGAAGCAGAGAAAAGTTTGATGAATTCTCGTATCTTTGTTTAGAATAAATTCAAATTAATGAATTTGATTTATCACAAATCAAACTAACTCAAACGAGTTTGATAACATTTTCTACTCACCCTTAAATGCATTTTTGATGACCGGTATTTCAAAGTTAATAACTTTCGAATATTGACCATCATCCACACCTAAAACGCAAACAACTCTACCACTATAAGAAGCTAAAAAGCTATGAATGTCACTTACCATCGCGGAAAAATACAATTTGAGTTGGCAATTGGCCCTGATTCAATTGACAATTATAATCTAACAACTCTTCTACGATATCTTCAAGACGAACAATACATTCAATTGAACATTTGCCATCGTCTGGCCATTGTTTACAAATACGACTGGCTGACATAGTACATAATTGATCATCAGAACCGACCAAAGCTAGACGAAAGAAGAAAAAAAAGTATGTGGAATACAGATCTTGATCTACCCTTTTGATTTTCTGATTTTCAGAAAAATATGAAAAAAATGAACTAACCTGCAATGCTCGGAAAACGTTCAGTGCAATTAGTTGGATGTATTACATCAGCACCAAAAAACATTATCCGTGGTGTTTGTTTGTTTGCCGGTTGTTGATGTTGTTTTGATAATGCTTGTTTTAAATTAACTTGAATATTAATACCATTCATTTTGTAATTTATTTTACGTAACAAATTTTCACAATAATTATCGAATAATGCCACGGGCGAAGTCGGCATTTTAGTTTTTCGATTACTTTGTTCAATCAGTTTATGAGCCGAAACACATTGTGTCATCAGATCTAAGGAAAACAAAAAAAATCCAAAAATAAAAAGGAATATTAATTTCTCACATGTTCCCTCCCCATAAATGAAAATACGCCCCGCCCCCAACTGCCTTTGCATGTGCATAATTATACAGATACCGAATACCCATGTGAAAAATAAGATACGTAGTAGAGGAAACATATCATTGTCGGACTATAAGAGTGACTGCACGATACCGGCGACCTAATCCACTAGAACTTCTTCAACTTTTTTTAAAATTTAATTCTGATTTCGCCAGTTTGTAGCCCTACTAAAGTTGAGTACATTCTGAAATTTTTAGCCTATAGGGGTGTTTGATTGATTGGAAATAAATTTTTTATCTCGACCACATCACTCTATTCCATACGTTTATAACTTTTTGTATGGCCTGACGTTATTCACCAATAATGTTTCCAATCGAGATTTTTGGTGGGTATATACTAGACAACAAGTACTACACATCTACCGACTGAAAAATTGAAGAAAACAAATGATGATGCAGACGCATCACACTACAATATAGATGATGATTCATCATTTTCGTCTGATGAAGAAGCACCATTAGGGGCACCATCACCACTTACTACTTCTGATCAACAACATCAAAGAGAAAGAACAATTGATATTGTCGAGATGTCATATGAGATTATTGATGATCAATTTGGTGAATTATCCCATTTTTGTCCATTTTCGTGTAAACTTAGAAAATTCATACCTTAGCCAAGACCGGAGTCAGAATATGAATATGTACTTTACTTTATCTGTTCAATCGGATTCTGTGTTTAAGATCAGTAAAAACGTCTGAAGGTTTCTAGAACATTGGGAACTTTGCCAACGAGACTCAACGAGAGTCGACTACGTACGTTTCCATTAATTTGTGTGATTATCACATCTAAGAAGACGTCGATCCTGCGCTTGGAGAAAATCCGAAGCCGCGCCTAACCCATTGGAACTTTGTTTTCGCCTAACCCATTGGAACTTATGTTTTCGCAGTTCGAGTTTCTGTTCGTAAATTAGTTTAAATCAATACAAATCATTATTTAAGGTGAACAATTTCAATACACCTTAAATAATGACTCAATAATTTAAATCAATTTGTAATAACTAATTCATTCAAATTGATTTAGAAAACATTTGCTGAAATTAATTTAAAATCAAAGATTAATATGAACGAATTTTTTTACTCAAATTAATGTAAATAATTACAAAAAAAAATTAATGCAAATTAATTTCATGTTTTTCGAAACCAAAATAGGTACTTATTTCGGTTCAGAAATATTTTCAAGAATTTCTGAGGGTGTCATTGGATTCGTCGCAAAAAGTTGCTTCGGGAAACTTAGCCTCTAACTATATCAGATATACTATGGGGACTTCGAGTTTTTTCCTTTTTGAAAAAAAAATATTGAAATCTTCACCAACCATTTGAACTAATTTAGTCTCAAATCAGTTTTGATCAATTTTTAACCAAAAATTAATGTAAACTAATTCTCATGTAAATTGGTTTAGATCTAACTTAGTTCCAACGAATTAATAATTTAAAATTATTGTAAATTAATGCTTTTTCAAATCAATTTAAACCATTCTAAAATAAAAAATTCGTTTAAATTAATTCGGTAGGAGATTAACAACGATAAAGTCTGCAAAAATTACTTCAGATTAATTTTAAATTGAAAATTGTTTTGAATTAATTTCTTTCAGATTAGTGCAAATCGATTTATTACTAAATTGAGTTAAAGGAATTTGGAGAAACATTAATTCAAATTATTTGAGTTTCAAATTAGTGTAGAGTTTTCGAATTAATGTACACTAATTCGATGCTCGAAATTCGCGTACATTAATTTAATATGAGAGTTTGTGTAATGCGGTAACGAGGAAAATTAATTTTTTCACGAAAAAATGAACTAAAATTAATGTCAGCATTAATTTGAAGTATATCTTTTAATCTCTTTTTCATTTATTCAAGGATTTAAATTGATGCGCATTAATTTTGAACGTCAAAACATTTTTTAGATTAATGTGAACGAATTTCCTTTTAAATGTGTTCAAATTCCTTTGAACCTCGAAATTACTTTGTATTAATTTCAAAGTATTTAAAAGTTCCAATGGGAAACCACGATAGATTAAGAGGTCGCTTAGTTTCCATTTTGCAGAGTACGCTTTGGGCTATCTATCACGTAGAAAGGCTAATATATTACCATGTTGAATTTTCGGGTTATGAAATGGCCTTCCAAAGATCCGTTAGAGTACCGATTTTTGCAATCTTATTTCAAAACGTTTCTGATTATGAAAAGATGCATTCAGGTCTTGACTATCGAATGACGAAAACCGTAGATCTGTGTCTCTTTCTGCTCTCGAGTTATTCAAAAAACAGGCACACGCATGGACTTTTTGAACGTACAGTAGTTGATTTGTATGAGGATACGATTCGAAATATGAAAAGAAGGTTTTTGTACTACATTAGTTCTCGGCAAACTCCTGTAAGTTCCAATATATTGTCTTTGAATTTAGTGTACGTCTAGGTTCGTGAACATGTAAAAAGATTTTTAAAGAGATGTAGTCAGAGTTTGACTTTCGGTCGGTGAAAACCGCAGGGCTCTATCGTTTTCCTATCAAACATCATTCAAAGAATACGCACGACCATTGTTTTCAAACAGAGTATAGAAAGCTAGAAATTCAGAACAGCAACTACGAAAAGCAGGTCACAGTTCGTGTCGTTCAAACGGTCACGTATGAATTAATGTTTCTTGAAAATCGCTTGCAGTCCTATGTAGGACTGTAAAAGTTGCCGTTGCGTTGATTTAACGCTAACCTTTCCAGTCACCGTTGTTTTAACGGTAACTGTCTTTTCAGTTACCATTGAAATAACGGTAACCATCAGTTAGTTAACTTTGTGGTAACTATTTCTTAATTATTGCAGAAATATCTAGGTAGCGGATTAAAATGGCTTCCAAAATCGTTAATTTTCCACCAAAAACTGTTGAAACTTTCATAAATGACATGATTTTGATTGGCACACACGTGCCAGTCGTCTATGGGCTGATGGTATCATCCGGAAATCGCCGTCGCCGCGGATTCTTATACGTTAAAGTGTTAAAGTGTTATAGTATAAACGTGCATAATTGACGGTGAGGACGAGGGTGGAGCACTTCTTCACCCACTTCACTCTCACTTCTCCACCCTCACCCGCACTCGCCGCGAATTCGTATATGTTAAAGCGTTAACACTTTAACACTGAATCCGTAGCGACGGCGATTTCCGGATGTTATGGGACTGATAGAAGGTTAAGAAGCTTTTACGGTATTACTATGCATGTTGTTATTGATGCTAAATTAGAATCATACTTATTATCATTCCAAAGGTTAGTTAGTCTTGAAATCTTAAATAGAAGTCTTTCTTTTTTATTTTGAGGAAAGAGATCTTCGGCCTCTGTTTGAAGGACGCTGACAGGTACTGGCTTTGGCGCGGATTTAATTCTTAAAGATACCGTATGGAGTCCATACGGTATCCATTCAAACTAAATTCGTCCATACTATGGACGAATTTAGTTTTCTAACGGCAGACTTAATCACTATCTCAGCACATCTCAGTAAGTTTTTTATTATCATTTCACAGGTTAGTTGGTCGTCATACAGCTGTTAACATACTAAATGAGTTTGATAAAGTTATAAAACACTACAATATTGAAAAAAAGATTGTTCGAATTGTTACGAACAACGCGTCTAATAATTTAGCTGCTTTTAATAGTTATGATCTACCGGGTTTTGAAGAAATTGATTTAGCCGAAAATGATATGCTTTAGGATCAGATCGAAGTGATGATGAGATTGATATAGATATTGATGACAGCGGTTTCAACTATGCTCCAGATGATGCATTAACAAATAAAAATGATAATGATATAATATATAATAATGGTGATGGTAATAATGTTTTAGACGATATTTCTGATACAGATTTTACTCCATATATAGCTGATACAGTCGATAACAATGAACAAATTAGAATTCCATGCTATGCACATACAATTCAACTTGTACTCAGGGATGGAATAAAAGAATGTTGCGTTGCACTTCGTTTAACATTGGGTAAAATAGCTAAAAGTGCCAAATTATGTCGATCAAGCACAATATTTGCTGATGAGTTTGAAAAAATACATAAAACGATTAGAACATCAAATGAAACACGTTGGAATAGTCAATTTAACATGGTGAAGTCTTTTATTAATATACTAACAGCAACAATCAATTCGATATTAATCGAGAAGAAAACAGATGAGCTTATTTTATCAACAAAAGAAAGACAAATAGTCGATGAATTTATTTCATTGTTTGAGCTGTTTAATGAAGCTACAATCAAGACACAAAGTGAAAATAAACCCCCAATAAGTATTGTTGCGCCAAGTGTACTAGAAATATTAGCTGATTTAGAAAAAGAAAAATGCAAATATTTGGAAACATTACGGGCATCATTGTTAAATTCGTTAAAATCACGCTTTGGTGGTCTGTTAAGTTACTTTAATATTGAATTACCCGCACAACAACGTTCAATGTCAAAGTCATTTGCCGATCCTATTTTTTTCATTAGTCCTGTTTTGGATGCCCGTTTTACATTTCGATGGTTAGATAACGTAGGTCTTTCTCCAGAAACTATAAAATGTGTAACGGAAAAAATAAAGAAAATGATTCTTAATTATACTAGTCAAATTTTAGGTGAAAGAATTGTTACAGAAGCACGCACTCAGGAATCGGCAGAAACAGTTAGCAATGATTCATCATGTAAAAAGAGAAAGTCGCTGTTTTCATATTTAATTAATGCCCCGAAAAAAGTTACAACTACAAATACAGCAATACTTGCTCAGCTTGAGGAATTTTTAGCAGAAGAAGGTATTGATTCAAACCTTATCTTTCAAAAACAAAATAAATATCCTATTTTACTCAAACTCGCTAAATTGTTTCTGTCTGTCCCTGCAACATCTGCGCCGATAGGGAGAATATTTTCTCAAAGCGGTTTTTTGATGCGTCCTCGTCGTGCGCGGCTTACATCGAAAAATCTAACTTTGTTAACGTATTTGAACGTATTGATCGTTCGATCATCTACCCGTATCTCCTGATTCAAAGTCCATTGATAAATTTTGTTCAATATGTTCTTCTCTAATAGTTTTAAAAGAAGAAACTGAACTATTCATTGTTGTTATTAACGGTTGTGTACTATTAGTTACTGTATT